AGCAACATTAAATTTAAAAACTGTACTTTTGAGTTAAAATATATATTTATAATTTTAATAAATGACAAATTAAAAAAGTATGAACATTTTTTTGTATCGAAAAAATATCGAACCGTGACACCAAAGTATCGAACCGAACCGAGAATTTTGTGTATCGTTGCACCCCTAACTAAAACGAATGCATAAAAGGGGGAAAATGGCTAAAGACACGTTTTTGCGATCATGTTTATTCCTGCGGTGCAAGAGGCAGCTTAACATAGGAGTCTGTGGAGACTGACTCAGTTTTAGCCTCAAGTGCTCATTCACAGAACTGCAGTTTTGACATTTGTGCAATGGTTTCATTTGGTTGTGGAGGTCGCTGTTAGTTTGTAGCAATGCCAGCATAGGTATATAGTAGAGAGTTTCTTTCTTTTAAAGAAAAAAAAGGGGGAGGCAGCGATTCCTCCAAATCCAACGTTACTTTATAAATACTTGGTAATAATTAGGTTTCTAATGGGTAGTTAATGTAACTCAACACTAAGATTGGAAATGGGAACACACAAATAAAATCCAGGAAGTTGTAATACTCAAGCGCAAAACTGTAACATTGTATTTGCACTAATTTTGCACGGATACACTTAATTAATTAGGCTTTTTTTTATTAATTAAACGTTTGATTGATCTTTGTGGTGCAGATAAGGAGCTGGAGGTTCTACAGAGCATAGCCGACCTGACAGTGAAGGCATCTGAGCAAGCTGTATTCAAGTGCGAGGTGTCTGATGAAAACGTGACTGGAAAATGGTTCAAGGATGGTGTCGAAGTCGAGGCCAGCGATCGCATCAAAATTTCACACATTGGAAGGTATCGCTATCAGACTCCGGTGGGTTAATGTTCTGCTGTGATAAAACTGTTGTTTCCAGCTCGGCTACCTATCATGTACAGCTGCACGCATTATGACAACAGCAAACACACACACACACCCAGGCTCACAAAATCATATAGCTATGACAATAAACAGTTTGCTACATGGCTTGGAAAACTATTACCAGAGGGCTTTCTTAGTTGTTTGACCCATTTTTTGGGGATAGGCTGCAATCTGTAAAGCTCTAACCTCTAAACACATACACACGCTCCCTCAAACACTCGCACATGGTCACACATAAACAACAAACAGACCCCAAGGGTCTGGGTTTTCTCTCAGTAAGCCCTCCATCAGAGCGGCCTACGGAAGGAGATTTGCCAAGGTGACAGCGGTCACACAAGGTGAAAGCCATTTAGTAGCTTTCTCACTCTGCGATATTGTCTCTTGAAGTATGTTGCTAGGGCAACTGTCCTTTGCATAAATGCGGGTCATAACAACTGCTGTCTCCTTGGTAACATCTGGCGACATGTCCCCAGGATCCACAAGCTGACGATCAATGACGTGAAGGCTTCAGACGCGGGAGATTATACCTTCGTCCCTGATGGCTACGCACTTTCTCTCTCAGCAAAACTGAACTTCCTGGGTGAGAGCGACGTAAAAATCCAAATACCAAGCGGTTCTTCTGAATTCAACCTATAAGTTGCAAATTTGAATCTTCCTGATCTGTTTCATTTTTCCCCACAGAGATAAAAATTGAATATGTTCCACGACAAGGTAGGTGCTTTTTTTAAAAGACAAAATTCATACTTTATACTGTCGTGTATGACAGTAAATGTTAGAGATATGTGAATGTGCTGACATCATTGAAAACTGGATGCCATTAGGTTTCCTTCAGCTGTGAATCTTCTGTCAATTAGAGATCTAAAATATACCTAACATGAAATTTGGTTTAAAAGTGAAAGTAGACATCAAAATGTTGTGTCAACACCCATTATATTCAAGAAAAATTGTTTATTAAATTAAATTAAATTAAATAAAAATTGACAAGTGAACTCTTAAATTATTGAGCTGTTGAGAAAATATAGCAAATATCATATAATTCAATTTAATTCAATTTTATTTATATAGCGCCAAATCACAACAAAAGTCGCCTCA